GATACTTCATGAAGCTGCGTGCCTGCTTCCCTTTGTCAGCTAAATGTGTAAACGCTAAAGAGATGACATTGTGATTTATTGAATTGCAAATGAGCCGGCGGAGGGATGGGAGGATTTCCGGGGACGTGAGCCTCGCTGCTCCTCTTGTTTGTCTTCTTGGTGCGTCCAACTCCCATCCATCAGAGCCTAAAGAAGGAGCGACAGCACCCCCTAGTGGCCATTTTAAAGAAGAGTTCCAATTCCACTGAAGTGGACTCCTGTCTGCACATCTGTCCATCCTTATTGTCTCCGATTATGTCCAGTAGGTGGGGGGGGTCATTGAACCTTACAGAAAGTAATCTCTAGATATAAATCTACAACTAATACATGATTTGAAGCAAACCTGCTGAAGGTGGCAGCTAYGACTGAATTTCAGCTAAGCTCAAATAATGCTCAAAGCTCTTTACAGACATACTTTGGTGTGGTAGCTGARAGGTACTCAAAAACACAAATGCTCTACAGATTTTATAGCATTTGCTTAAAATTTTGACATTACCTTTTGGAGTCAATMTTTTTTCCAGAAAAATATCCCATGAATCAGTGAACATATTTTAATAACTTTCATGTTAAAAAAATATGTATGTATGGCCTGAGCTTGTATAATGCTACAGTCATTCACACTAACCATACAAAGAAAACTCATATGTGAGCCATCATATCAAAATGAGGATTAAGTCAAATTTGGTCAAAATGACCTAATTACATTTTCAGATTCTTGGCTCTAAAAGCTACATTTTGACACCTGGATCATTCTGATGTCATCATTAAATCCATATATATGACTCAATTTGTCTTGTTGGGTACAATAATACATAAATGTTTGGTCTGAATCCTGATTTTATGTCATTTTAATGAGGAATTTTTGATGTCATTATGAACAGGAAACCTCAAATTATATGTGAATATTGAGATTGCCCATCTAAAAAGAAACAAAACTTTGCTAGCTCACAGAGAAAACCTTAAAAATTTAAGGTGTTTTTCCTCAAAATCAGGTTTTTTGTTGCTACCACTCAAAAAAGTCTTCAAATTTTAGTTTTATGATTATATTTCAGACAGTTCATTCAAATGATACATTGATAAGGCATTTATTCATTTTATTTTGACAAAATACAATTTTTTGTTAACATTTTAGGCAAAACACTAAATTTGCCCATATCTCCACATACCACTTTTGGACTTAATCCTCGTTTCAATGTGATGGGTCACATACGTGCACGAGGAGAACATGTAAACTCTAAAGGTTCAGGCCAGGAGGCGATCCTCTCCATCGAAAAGTAACATTTCTAACCACTGCACCGCCGTGCMGCCCCTACGTTTACTATCATTTATCATTTTTCTTTTCACTGAGTGACTTTCCTCTCAACGAGCAGCCTATTTYGCTGTGACTTAAGTTTGAAAAATTTATTTTTAACTGATCCATTCCTCTTGGGCCGCAGCGGAAGCAAGGCATTAGTTCAGCAAGCRTGCAGTAAAAAAAGTAATATTTGTACAAATAATGTGTCTGTATACCAAACCCCCCAGTGGCTGTGGGGAAGAAAATCTGACACTGTTWAAAAAAATAAAATAAAATAAATTATTTCCCCGGTGCATTTTGCAAAATGAAAAAAAAAATAAGTCATTTTGTACAAATATTGAAAACTTGATTATCAAGCATTTTAAGCTACAACCNAGTCATTTTGTACAAATATTGAAAACTTGATTATCAAGCATTTTAAGCTACAACCCCTTCACCCTGTAAAGAAAAAAATTAAAAAATAAAAAATAAAACAAAGCCTTTTTCTTTGTGACAAAGTAATTGGCAAGTTCATGGCAAACTTATTTTCCCATTTCCCTTTTAACATCGTATTACTTGTCACCTTAGACAAAGCCTAGGAGGCGGCAAGTATTCATTATATCATGAGGAGGAAGGTATTCATCACAAAAACTGGATTGTCATTTTAGAGTGAAACTCCTCAGAAACGAGCTTCAGTGTATGTTAGTCTATAAATTAGGGGGTGGGGGAACGGTTTGCTGACCGCAGACACTGATCCGTCCTACTTTTTAAACCTCAGTCAGGAGTCCCATGCAGCCAAACTCCTACACAAATCCCACTTTTTACGGCAAGAGTGCAAGATTTTGTTTGGGCTTCTCTTCCCTCCCAATACCCAGGAGTACCCATTCGAACATGCCGCACCCCATCTGTTTAGGAGCCTGCTGACAGGTTGAACGGGAGTTGTATTTCAATCGTATCATCTCATATATTTTAGCGGGACGCCAAATCTTTAGGGATGTTGTCAAAGACCCCGAACCGTGATCCATATCTGCTGTGTGGGGAAATTAATTGATAAAAATCTTTGGGATAAATGAAAGTGAATCCCACGGAGACGTCCTGCGGTGTGGACAGGTACACGGATTCCCAACGTGACTGAGAAGATAAACACTTAAAGGGTCTTTACAAAAAGGAGGGCATTTAAAGGGAAACAAAAAAATCACAAACGTTCCTATCAATATGCTGGTTTATAAAGCCAACAAATAAATTTTGCTGCAGGCTGACAGATGGTCTATATCAGTGCTGGCACATACTGCAGCCAGTCAACATAAGGCACAACTGTGGAGTAGAATGGTGTGAAACAATTTGCCACTACATAGTTCACACACTTGTGAACACTTAAGTGTATTTTTACGGTCTGTTTTTGTGTGCTCAGTTAATACACATTACTCTTCACACTTATAGTAACAGTGTAGGCATTTTAATCGATTACATTATTTGAATACTGTAAATATTTCTGCTTCAATAATTTTTTTCACTACCTGCTGCATGTTTTGTTTATTTGAACCGATAGATGTGTGTTTAAATGGATGTCTAACAGCAAACCTCTTGCAAAGAGGGTTGCAGGAGTTTGACTCTCCGGTCTGCAAGTGGCTCTGAAGACGACTAATGATCAGGTTTCCCCGAGACATTCTGTGGAGTAAAAGTTCAAGGTCACCTTTAAGTGTTGATTCAGTCTCTGTAAAAATCAAGCCAACATTCTCAGTTCAAAGTCAAGCTCGTCTCCAGTGCAAGGTGGACTCTGTCAGAGCTGTCACTCGTCTATAATCCTGTTTGCGGTGTTCATGGACACAATCTCAGGACATAGTGGAGAGGACTGTGTCGGGTTTGAGAACCTCAGGATTTTTTTTTTAGCTCTGGTAAACAGTGCTGGCTCTAGCCATTTTGGTGCCCTAGGCGAGTTGAAGTGCACCCCCCCCACCCCCAACTATGTCCCACCCACCCCAATTTGAACCCCTAAAAACCAGTTTGACAGTGTAAGGTACCATGTAAACTTAGATTTATTTATAAATAAATAAATAACAACATAGGCTACATGTCAACTTGTACGGATTGTCCGTAAGTTATAAGGATTTTATGTCATTTTGCAGGTATACGGACATATAGGGCAATCTCATGGGTTTTTTCGTCTTACGGATTTTTTCAAAACCTCATTTTCAAATTTATCTAACATGTCAGAGCCTGTAGGATGATTTAAAAAACAACAAATAACATTAAATAGCCATCTTCCAACCTGTTCTGCCGGTAGAATTAAGTTTTGAACTTTTTTCACTCTCCATTCCTCCTGCTTCACAACGGGCACAATCACATCCTCGGCGAGGCTGAAAGGGGCACTGAGCAGAGTTACAACCAGGGATTACAAATAATTACTTTTTTCTTCTGCAGTTTGGCGCCCCCTCCAGCAGATGGCGCTCTAGGCGACCGCCTAGTTCGCCTATGCCAAGAGCCGGCTCTGCTGGTAAAGATGATGTGTTTCTGTTGGCGTCTTCAAGTCATGACCTTCAGCAGGCCCTGAGACATTTTGCAGCTGATTGTGATGCAGCTGGGTTGAAAGCCAACTTCTTTAGCTTCGAGAACAACGAGAACGCTCAGTCTGGCATCTTTGCCTCAAGAGAAGTAGTCTTGGTTGCGAGTGATAGCAGGGTGGAGCGGGAGACGGAGCCATAAACTGGGGCTTAATCTGCTGTAACGAGGGCGTTGCTTCGGTCTGCTGTGGTGAAGAATCTAGACATCTTCATCGCCACCTGATGTCTTTTGGGAATCTCCAA